CTAGCAAAATGTTTTCCAATTATGTCGAAATTCATCTCACCTCATTTATTATCATTGCTTACACGTAAAGGAATATTCCATATCAATGGTTAAATAGCAAAACGAAATTTAATAAGACACAACTACCTTCACGTAAGGATTTTAATAGCGATTTAGATGGATATGATTATTGCAAGCACAATTGTAGAATAATAAATGTGAGCATGGAGAGAAGATAGGAAAATGCAAACATAAATGTAAGAAATGTATGCATAAAAAAGAACAGGGTGATTGCAATGAATGTGAAGAAAATAAAGAATGTGAACATGAGAAAATTTATACTATATCTCAAAAGGATTATGACTTTGCCTGGATAGTTTGGCGAGAAACAGGATGTAAGACTTTTGGTGATTATCACGATATTTATCTTAAAACTGACGTATTGATTTTAGCAGATGCATTTGAGGCTTTCCGAAAAGCTTCATATTCAGCATTCAAGCTTGATCCAGCAAATTATTTAATGGCACCAGGTCTAGCATGGGATGCATGTATGAAAGTAACTAAAGTAAAATTAGAATTATTTCACGAATGTCAAGGAGATATGCATGATTTCTTTACAGCTATGAAAAGAGGAGGAATGTCCTTAGCTAGAAGGCATATAGCTCGAGCAAATATTCCAGGCTTAGAAGGATATGACGGAAAAAAAGCGAAAAAATGGTTGCTCTATTTGGATGCCAATAATCTTTATGGTTGGGCAATGAGTCAATATTTACCAACCAGAGGATTTAAATGGCTATCAACAAAACTCCTCGAAGCTACTTCCCCATTAGTACAGAAAATTTTATCATTAAAGGAAAAATCAAGTCGAGGATGTTGTTTAGAGGTTAAGTTATCGATTCCAAAAGAATTACACCCCAAATTTCGTGACTATCCAATGTGTCCAGAACGAAAGAATGTACCATATGACTGGTATAGTTCAAAACAAAAAGAGTGGGCAGGTAAATAATGTTCAGATACAGAAAAACTGATACTAACTCTACATGATAAAGATCACTATGTTATTTATTATAGAAATTTACAGCAGTGTATAAGAGAGGGATATGTTCTTGAAAAAGTATATCAAATTCTAGGATTCGAACAATCACCATGGTTGGAGCCATATATTGCAATGAATACGCAATGACGAGCAAAAGCAAAGAAAGAGACTTCTGGAAATTGATGAATAATTCAGTGTTTGGAAAAACTATGGAGGATGTGAGAAAACGAGTAAATATTGATTTAGTTAGACAGGTAGGTGAAGAACGACGATTACGACGATTAATATCAGATCCAGCATTTGTTAGTCAGAAAATTTTCTATGGAGCTAATCTAGTAGCTGTACATCGAAGGCAAACTAATGTAAAACTTAGTAAACCTGAATATGTAGGGGCATGCATTCTCGATCTCTCTAAATATTATATGTATGACTTTTGGTATGGATATCTTAAAACGAAATATGGCGATAAAGTAAAACTTTTATATACAGATACAGATTCATTAATCATAGAAATTGAGACCGAAAATATTATCAAGACATGATAGATGATTGTGATTTATTTGATTTTAGTGATTACCCTGAAGACCATTGGGTTATAAAGAACCTTCCAGAAGATCAGTGGATAATCAATGAAGAAGGTAAACGTGTCTTAAAAAATACTAAAGTTATAGGTAAGTGGAAGGACGAAAATGGGGGAGATCGAGCTATTGGCTATGCAGGAGTTCGTGCAAAATGTTATAGCGTTGTGTGTGAAAATTCACGAAAAAATATGATCAAAGCAAAGGGTCTTAAAAAATCTCTTATCAAGAGAGAGCTTACTCATAAAATATTCGAGAAATGTGTTTTGGAGGGAAAAGAAGATCAACCACGAACTGCTCAATTCCTCCGAAGTTACAGACATCAAATGTATAGGATAACGCAAACAAAGAGAAGTGTTAACCCACTAGATACAAAATTGTGGATAGCTCAAGACAATGTAACGACATATTTATATGGGGATTGTGAAATTCCGGAAGAATAAACACCAGCAACTAAATCGTTCTACTTATTGTAATGAATATATCTATTTTTTATGATCAATAGTAATAGTAAATAAATATAACAATTAAATAAAGAATCTTAGTTAATAAAATCCACGCGTTTGAGGATATGCAACATGCATACATATAACCCACTTACACTTCCAGACACTATTGCTGAAATCATCTCAAAACTTCCATTAGAGGATTTAGATAACTGTATTCAAATTAACCGCACATGGTATAAAGAAATTTGTCATGACCTTTATAAGAGGCGTAAAAACTTTAATACAAAATACTATGATTTATTGGAGAAACTAGACAGATGCCATAGAAAATCGGATATAAATGATAATGAAATTGAGCCTATATATAATAATGCATTAATAACATTTGATAAGCTCGTAAAAGTAGAAAGGTATTTATTAAATAAAAATATGATCTTCAGTAAAAGAATTAGAAATGCGATATTGACCAATATTGAAGAAGATAGTTATGGAAACCCATTAGATTCATACAATTTTGGAGAAGATACATTCGAATATATAAAATATCTCTTCTACGTATATTAGAAAAAATATAAATAGATATTTAACAAATTTTATTTATTTAATGTAGGGAGAAGAAAGCTGATCTACCCATATATATTTTTTCGGTTGGCTATTCGCATTCAAACACATGCTTCGATTACGGATAATAGAAACGTATTACGTAAAAATCACAAAATTAAATCATGTCACGTTATAATGGAGTGATGTCATGTGTTTTAAATTCGCGAATCAGAGATCAGCATAGAAGTTCGTGGAACATGCCAATAAAAAACCCCTGATAGGCTGTGATCTCATATTGCAGGAAGCGTGAGAAGTAATTGTTGATAATCGATAAGTGGAATATATCAGATGATCACCCAATCAAGATTGATAATGCGTTATCTGGGATAATCGTGCATGATCTATTTCGGGTGATAAATCTATTTCGGGATGTACTACAAGCATATAATTAATTTTCCGATGCTCGACTATACGACTTATAAATAATGCGTAACGCTTATCCGAAAAAATTGATTATGCTAGTGAATATCGAGTTAAGTTGGTCAATGACATTCATATTCGAAATCATCGACCTCTTTATCTTCTGGCGATATGGACGAGGAGTTGGATGGACGGGTATCGGAAGAAATACCGTTTTGTAACTGCTTCTGTTCTAATTTTGCGACTCTAGCCTTAAGCTCGGCATTTTCTTCTGCAGTCTGTTCCAATTTTGCGACTCTGGCCTTAAGCTCGGCATTTTCTTTAGCAGTCTGTTCTAGTTCCACGATTTTGGCCATAAGCCCTGCTTCCTTAGCCAAGAGCGAAGAATTCTCAGTCACAAGCTTAGCATTCTCTTGTCTGAGTAAATCTAGTTCGGAAGACATGCTTGATATTATGTTTTTATATATTTGCAGATTTATTTAAATTTGTGACGAAAAAATATCGCGCCCTAAGACATATTCAGGTGCATAACACGAACCGGAGATCGAAATAAAATCTATGCTAACCCATATTGGCAAGGTTATGCCTTGAAACCCGTTATGTTTAATGATTCATGAACAAATTTTGTTTAACTAAAAGTTGATGTAATGTAAGCGGATAAAGGAACCAACCAGTGAAACTCAACATATTTTGTAACAATGCTGATGGTCTAAGAATCAAATTTAGAATTATGTATTGATATTATCTGCTTTTCTTATAATGAAATCGAGGAGGCAAAAATAACATTGCACACGAGAATATTTATTTTTAACGCAAAATGAAAAATAGTAATTCTTTAACATTAAAACAATATCATCGGCTCAAAGTATGCATTTTGGTGTAACGGTTTTGACCTTTTCTGTGCATCATTCGCTTTATTTGGACATTTTCTTAGTTTTTTGGGTTAGTTATTTATGCCTCTTCCGTTAATGATCGACGCCGAAAAGGGGGGTCGTTTTTTTATATCTATATCTATATCTATAGCTATATCTATATCTATATCTATATCTATATCTATATCTATATCTATAGTTATATCTATAGTTATATCTATATCTATATCTATACACATTATATAGAGAAAGAAACACTCAATATGTTATTTTTGTTCGTTGGGAAGGAAAATGCCTTCTTCAGACACCTTGACTTATACCTTTTCCTGATTTTGATCTGAACTCAAATCTATGTGTAACATCTATTGCAAATTCGAGCAAAATTTAATCGATTGTAAACAAGAAAGTATTAATGGCAGGACAAAAACTTCATTATCCATACTAACTTAAAACTTAAAACGCTTTCTCTCTGAACGTAATTCTATTGAGAAGAAAATCAACCTGCATATTTGTGATATCAACCTTTCATCTAGATTTGAATTGCTTGAACTTCACGCAATTTCTAAAGCCATCAGAAGCAAAAAAAAACGAACTATATAAATTTATCGCAGAAATAAATCGGATGTCTTTGTCTATCAGTGTTAACACTTTTATTATTCATTTATACACTTTCGAATAGTTATTTACTGACCGTTCACCGTTCATTTTTTGTCCATTAACATATGTGTTTACATTCCGCGTACAAACTTCCTTGTGAGATGCATTATAATGTATAATGATATAATCCTTTTACAGTTCTATAACCTATATATGTCTACTTTATTCAATTCATTCAACTTATCGTGAACAAATTGTGTCTACCGTGCTATGAACGTACGCACATTGCCGTCTTAAAATGCTACAGGCATTGCTCATTGTATATGAAGCCAATTCTATTAGTTGACTATCGCTTTTTAGCAGTTAACCTATCCCACCCTGAATGTCACTTCGAAATTAAATCCTAAATATCCAAAATAAAATAAAAAATAATCCCCAACTGCTTCTTGGAATTAATTTTTTTTGACGCAAACATGTCGTGTGAATTTGTAATGGCTCTCCTGAACGACGAATCAAAACAGAAAAGCCGATCCTTTCCAAACTATCTACAGTACATTGTGTAATTGTTTACAACCCATAATAATAAATTAGCACTATGTTTTAATTAGCTGGTAAATACATCGAGGCGGGCGTGTCTAATCCGTATTTGCCCTGGTGACATAATTGATCTACGTAAATTTTAGCTATGTTTATTACATCAACGCCCGCTTGGTGACTCATTTGGTGGCGTAATGTGTAATCTGTATTTTTGGCATGGTTGATCTACGTAAATTTTAGCTATGTTTGATTAGCATAAAATACCGTGCTGTATCTTTTTTCCACAAACGTACTACTAACTATATTTATGTTGTACTATAAATAAATTTACACTACGTTTGAACTGATAAGACCTGCCTGGACCTGTCTTATCTTCCTATTCAGAATCGAACCATACCTTTCTGGTAATGTGTTTCCACTATGACATGATTGATCTTACATGCAAAGAATTCTAATTTTTTTTATACGTACTTATTACATAAGTACCGTATTTTCCCCTCCACTACTATATAATAAACGCCAGTTGACGAATCTGAACCATATACTTTATGCTACCGACTATCTACCCAACTCAACATCATTATGATCGCAACACTTTCCACGATATTTTATATTCTTTCACTAACTGAAGAAAAAAACGCCAGATACAACATACAAAGAGGGCAAGCAATATCAAAATTAAACAACAACGGAAACTTCATGATATACAATTTCACCGGCTGGATACCCATCTCTAAACCCGAAAATACTGACGAATCTTTATCCTTGCAACCATTACAATTAGAATCAATTTACCAAATAATTGGTAAATTCACCTTATCGCAAGATGGTTCTATCAACGTCACTATTACCACAAGCATTCCCCTTTCTCTATCCGAAGATAATATCCCTATTTCCAAACCGATCGTTTCTTTAGTAGGACATATTAATGCGGAAGTAACCTTAACCGAGTCAGCATACCATTTACCACTTATTGTAAAGCCATATATATCAGCTGACTCATGTGATCCAATAATGATCACCTTGATTCACCCCTCTGACGGACGACTAAAAAAATCATTCACTGCAGCAAAAAAAACATCTCTGATACATTGCACCGGAATTCTAATAATTATCGAACATACAATGTACTGCCAAACTCTAGAATTCCAGTTTCTCGGTACTAAATCATCCAGCTTATCCACGGTCACTCCTCCTTGGAAAATCAAAGAAGAAAACAACAAAACTCCCATTAAAAAACCAAACTCATTCGAAAACCAAATAGCTCTTATACATAAAACCGTTTCTCAATCTCCGCCAGCTCAAATAAGCGAACGAAAAGTAACAACAACCTCGGAAAAGGTCAACGTTTTTAAAGTCGCTGACATTGCGAAGTCTCTCCTTACAAAAAAAGTAGAAATATCTTCCGACCCACCATGCGATAATAATAACGAAGAACAATCACCAATACAATCCGAACCTCCCGCAAAGCGGACTCGGAGAAAAGCAAATAGTAAGAAACAAAACTAAAGTGGTAATTATATCTTCAATCTCTATAGTAAGACGTAGCATAATTTTGTGGAGCCCTTTTCACCTTTGTTTTACAAATAATAGCAGAGTAATAAGAATAGCCGTTCATCTCGAAGACCACTGGGAAAGAGTAAGTAAAGCAAAGCCAGTTTTACGAAATTGCTAATATAGAGGAAATAGTTGTAAGTACGGAATGAAAGATTGCTCAGCAAAGAAATTCACACTACGTTTTAATTATGCTTATATAATTGTCTTATTTACATGCGAATACATCTGCGCATTGCGTAAAAAAGGCTCCGACGTATAATTATGCTTGTAAATAATTCTATTAGGTCAAATAACTTTAAGTTCAATATGGTTAGTTTTATATTTTGTGTCACTACTATGCAGTCATGTATGTACTGTAGTTATATATTGTTGTACACATATGTATATCGTTCTAAATTCATACATAAAAGAACGATACTTCTGTTGTTGCAAATAAAAGTTAACGTAATGTCTCAATTAACATTTCCCGTATATCGCTTTCATACTGATAATGCTTATACGCCCCCCACCATTCAAGCTTTGACCACAAATCCACAAACTATGCTGAACGTCAACGACATCCTTAATCGACCTACAAATTTGCATTATTCCTCTATGACAGTTAATTGTTCAAATGAATACATAGAATCAACATTTTCTAATACAACTTCTCCGGTTCAAATCCCTCCCTGGTATCCCAATCGTCCATTACGTAACCTTCATACACGTTTTCACAATACAATCTTATATCAACACATTTGCGTACCTTGTGTATTTTGTGGAAGATTATTATATCCTAAAAAAGCAAAATGGTTGCCATATAACGAAAATATTATTTAT